GCCACAAAAATCAGCATACATGTATTAATGTAGGTCTACTACAAATAGGACATAAAAAGAGAACAAGCTGTTGTAAATCCTGCAGTGTAAGAGTGTAGTGCTGTAGTGAGCTGCAGATGAGACAGCAGTTGATGGGTTATGTAATGAGCCATTGCTGGAGCTGGGAGAGAGGCAGAAAAACACAACAGAGAGCAACAGCACTGGTAAAAATCTCTGCTTTCTTTCCTGAGCTCCAAAATTTGATTCAATTAATTAAAGTTACAGAAATAGGTGGGTTTATACCCCAGAGATGCAACAATTTGATGCACAAAAACTATATTAGAATCAAAATTCAAACGCGCTCTTTGAAAAGCTGGAAGTAGAAATCGATGATGGAAACAATCAGCATGTTTTCCTACATTAAGCAGAATAAATAAACAGGTGTTTACTAAAGTCGCAACAATCAATCTATAAAAGCTCCAAAATGGATAACACATCCAACTATTAATGTGTTTGCCTCAGCATAAAGTAATAGTTCATTATAGTTCTAACAAAAACAAACAAAAAAGACTAGCTTTTCCTTCCAAATGCACAAATAAAAACAGCTCACTTGCATGTTAGACCACTGGCAAGTTTAACCACAGCCGTATTGATGGAGAAGATCCAGTCCAAGAGCCACATGGCATACAACACGCAAGACTGCTGCTTTTCTCTTAAAACAACCACCAGTAAAGCCAGAATCAGTTGATGGACAATCTCTCTAGAAACTCAGTTGTGACCGGATCTGCACTACTCCCCCTCTGCTCTCTAAATGCACAGTGGCAGCTGAGTCCCTCACACCACAGCAGAAACAAAAAGGAGTGAGTGACACAAGAGAGTGGGGTGGGAGGGAGTGTGATTAGCTGGAGGTTGAATGACATTGGCTTTTATTCCCCCAGCCATTGTAAAAGAACCACTTGCAACATCACAACTCATGTGTACACCTTTTAATTTAGATTATATACCATGAACAGCAAGATGATATGAAAGGTGCAAATCTGTCTGAAGAAAAGAGCAGCCTCTTGGTTCAAAAAGTATCCAAAACTACTACCAGACACAAACAACAGCAGATCCTAAACCAAACCTGGACCACTAAGAATACAAGTACATGTAATCTGTGCTTCATTGTACAGCAAACTGACTGGATCCGAATGCAACAGAAAGCAGTTCCAAAACTGATAACTAGGGTTGGGAATTGATAAGATTTTCACAATTCCGATTCTCTTATCGTTTCTGTGAAACGATTAAATTCTCGTATCAATTCTCTGAAACTACCTTTGCATGGGATATTCTATTTCTGCCTGCCTCTGCGTAAAAAGAAGGCAGTGAACGGGAGCTGCAGCCTCTGAGCCAGCCAGGCTACCGTCTTGTCATCTAAATCTAATGGAGAAGGCATCAGTCTTATGACAGAGCATTGCTGTACAATTTTGGGAAATAAACTCATCTCCCCCTGATATAAATAAACGAGCGTCATCTTCATCTCCCTACCTGAACTGTGGAGCAACTTTGTAGCACGTTTAATAACCCAAAGGGAGGTAGGAATTATTTTTTTCTCCAGAAATTGCATTTGATTTACTAGGAACCACATTAAGGACAGCCAGTGATATAAAACTAGCTACTTACAACCAGAGTTGCCTTCCATGCTGGTCGTAACTTTAGCTTCTGTCCGAAAGCATCAAAAACACGGCATTTGTTAAAATGTATGCCATGTTGTGTGTGCAGGTGTTTCTGCATGTTGGATGTATTTCCTCCCGCTGATGTAATTGCCACTTTACAATGATTGCAAAGCGCCCTGTTGCCATCTTTCTCTTCCTTGAAATTAAGCCAAGCTTTCAATCGCTTTTGTTTTGCTTTTCTAGACTGACGCCTGGTCACGTCGTACTTTCTTACTGAATGCCGTGTGCGTAACTTGCGTAAGTCGTGCTGCCCAGCGCTAGGCTCTGGTGCAGCCTGGAATCGATAAGAGAATCGTTAAGTGAGCTGCCAAACGGTGCCATGGAATTGGAACACACGGAACCGGTTCTGAACAGGAACCAGTTTTCGATTCCCAACCCTACCAGTGATATCCTCCATGTCATGCTGCATTGATGCAATAATTCACATAAATAGGATCACCAACCAAGCAACTACTGCATACACTGTGCATATTTTTTTTTTATATGAACTAACAGCTTGGAATAGCTTTGTTACGCTATGAAAAATAACAGAAATACAGTGTTAATATATATCCTAATATGTTCAATTGATCAGCATCAGCCTCTGAATAAAATAAACCCATAAAACAGTCACTTTTCTGTCATTTTTCTAATGATGAACCGGATTTTCTGCCTATTCCTTTATGGTAACAAAACTCTATTGCTTTGTCTCCAGAACAGAACAATAGTTCTAAAATATAATGTGAATAGAAAAGTTTTGTGGTTACTTTTTGCCAGGTTTCCTCGGCTTCGTCCTCTTCTTCCTCGCTTGAATCGCGAGAACTGAAAAGCAGAAAGCAAACGGGTTAAAGAAAAAGAAAAATGGTGACAAAGATAACACGCCTCTGAGTTTGTTTAGGAGAGTCAAAAAAATATACTTGACTCAGCTGAGGTGTATAAAAACGAGCAAGATCACGAGTAATGATTAAAAATAAGCAACTATCTAGCTAGCGGGTTATTTAGCCTCGCGGTGCATTATGGGTATTTTTAATTTAGATTCAAACAGCAACTATCGGCATTTAGCGCTGAAAAATACGTATCACCTCTGGAAAATATTATATTAAAACACATTTGACTGTATGATATACATTTTTCCCCCCAAAGCCTGCAACAAAAGCCTACTTTTAGCATAAGCTGTCTATAACGTGAAGCTAATAATATAGAGCTAAAGCTAACATAACGTTACCACATAAAACACGGAGCACAGCGCATGGTACACTACTCTACACCGGTTCTTACTGGCTTTGTTTTATCTAGTCTGTTACTGTTCATACAACAAGCAGTCACCGACAAATACCAGGTGTTAATGGTTTGGGAATAACAGGTTTAGCAGGTAAAATGCTGTTGAGGTTTTAGTTTGCAACGTTACCTTTTCTCTCCATGCTGAACAGTCAGTCAAGTGCTGCGTTCAGTAACTGTCGGAAATACCAGAACCGTTTGTGTAGTGCGTAGTTATTGTGTCATAGGTAAAGGGTGCTCTGTAGGGGAACTGCACTGTTGATTAAACGCTGGTTCCCTTTCCCAATTTTCTTCTTGTATTTATCACTTTTCGGGCTCATTTATATATATTTTTTCCAATTCCCATGTTAGTAGCATTACCGGATATGCGACGTTTCCTACCAATCATGGCAGGTGCCTACCTATCCCTCAGGCAGGACGTTCAGTTCTCGTGTGCAGAACTCATGACCCCTCCCTGTGGAGGACCAATCCTGCCATAATTCAAAATAAATACAGAAATAAATGCTCCAAAAATAAATAAGCATACAATTAATTGTCCCCCAAAAATACAATACACAAATAAATGTAGGAAGAAATTAAGTTATACATATACTCTTTTAATTAGCTTCTTTGTTTATTTGCCTTTGTGATGATTACCTCATTTATTTATTGTCCGTTCTATTCCTCAACTTTATTTATTACTTATTTCTTTAAGTATTTATATATGTGCATGTTATAATATTTTTGTCTAGTTTATTCTTCCTTTGTATTTTTTACCCTATTTATTTCTACCCTGCTCTTCATTTTTACAAAGGCAAAAAACAAAGAAGCTAATTAAAAGATTATATATATATATATATATATATATATATATATATATATATATATATAT